CAAAACTTTTGGAGGGAATATAAAAAGGTGTTTTTAAACAATATTTTTATTACTCATTTATGAATAGAAATATATGTTTTTGAATATAAACTTTTTAATAACAAAACTATTTACAAAAATCTACTAATAAAGTTTATCTCATGCACAGGAACATGATTGGATAACACTGGAATACATCACATACGGTTGGTGCGGTCGCATACGGTCTAGTCACAGAAGTTAAAATTTTTCAACGCATCCGCAGCTCAATTCGGATCTGAATTTTCTGAGGATGTTAACATCTCACACATTCAACCTGTTGTGAACATGACCCTTGCAAGCCTCCTGGATTTGATGAATGGACTAGGCAATGCGGAGATTGTAGTGTATTGAACAAATTAAAAAATAAACAAAAATAAATTTAAAAAATCTAATTTTTCTAAATATTTTTTATTATTATTTCTAGGTAATCTTAACCATTTAGTCTTTAAACTATGATCTATACCACATGGAGATGGAAAAATTCTGAACTTTCACCATACAATGCTTGGATTCAAAAAGTGTGGGAACTATATCAAATGGAACAAATAACATATGCATTACGACTTCAAAAAACAATTTTCCTAAAGAGATGCTCTCCTGTCATGCCTCCAATAATGAACCATACTGAACTCGTGAAGTCTCATAGAACAAGGCCACTTTTTTCTTCCTTTCTTCACTTTCTTTTATTTTAAATAATAATTATTATTGTTTTATAATCTTTTTAACCTATTATTCTTTCTTCTCTCTTTTCCTATGGATGCTTTTTGTTCTGCACAGGACAAAATTGATAGTCTAACATTCAAAAAAAAATAATAATAATAATGTTACACTGTATTGTATTCCATGCAATGTTGTATTCTCATAAAAATAAGTAAAAAAAAAAAAAGATCTAAAAAGTATTTGTTATATTTCTGCACCCTCTTGTGGACAACATTAGTATTACAGCCTTCATCTCAATCTGATAAATATCTAGGGTTTTAAAAATGTCGAAAGTTCATCAAGCTTAACATGTTTACAAATGGCGGCTCAGTGGTTATCACTGTCGTCTCACAGCAAAAAGGTCGCTGGTTCGAGTCCTGACTGGACAAGTTGGCATGTTCTCCCCATGATGGCATGAATGTTCACTAAATATGTTTATGAAAAACTGAGATGATCAATTCAAACCCTAAAACTAGTGTCCCATTAGAATTCATTTTGAACTGGCTAATCAAGCTCTTATTTTATATATATATATATATATATATATATATATATATATATATATATATACTAAAAACTTTGTGGCAGGTTTGTTGGAGCAAAACTCAGCAGGACACCGACCCTCCTGGACCGAGTTTGGACACCCCTATCCAGTATTCGGCAGAAGTAAGCTGAAGACAGAGCTTATTCTAACAAAATACATCTACTGCAAGGAAGAGTTCAGAGCCTGTTGTGGTGGCTCTTTTGTAAAGTATTTTTAATCCTTCTGTCAAAATTGCTATAATTCATCACACATTTAATTTCCCACAAAATAAAGAGTTGTTTTGTTTCTTTCTTTTTTAATGTATTTTAACCAGAAAATGAAAATCTTTCAGTTAATTATAACTGACGCATATCCCCAAAAAAGGTGTCTCACTGGAGAAATACAAGAGAAGAGATCTCACAATGTATTTTCTATTGTTTGCATGCAAGTCCTGAAAATGAATGTTATGGCATCACAATGAAAACAATCAAATCAGGTTTATTTTATCCAAACCAACTGGTATGACAAGATACATGATACAAACTTACATAAAAGTAAGAAAACAACTGACTACCACATTAACCCTTTGTATGTGAAAAAAGAGCATAAGGAAAGTTGCATTATTTATCATTTCAAGAGTTCACACTTAGCTGATGATTGACAATAGGGGTGTCTGTCCCAGGAGAGGGGCTTGAGCTCAGAAGACCCTCGAGCCAAGGGCTTCCTCCTGTTTCATAGGGCAAGAGGGGGGAGTGTGAGCTCAGGTAGGTCCTAAGAGCTCCCCTGAGTTAGTTCTTTGGGCCTATTATAGACTATTAGAAGTTTCCCAGGTGTGATAGACCGCAAAGTGTTGGCATATGTGCGTTGGAGGCTTAGAACTAAATGCTCATTAAATATGCCAATTTGGTTTAATCAATTCACTTATGCTGCATGGCTTGACCTTCTTGCTGGTAGGCAACAGTGCCTAGCAAACAATTTTGTGTTTAAAACACCTCTAAATAGACATCTAAATGTAGACAGCTTGGCTAAAACAAGGCTTAACGTAGGCTGTCAGTGAAAATCTAATAGACATCTAAAAAAGCCCAAAAGTAGACTAATCGTCAAATAGACAGATTAGGCAGACTTTATATGTGTGGTCTTTCATTTCTGTTTATTTGATGGCCAGTTTTGGCCTATTCTTAGACGTCTATTAGATTTTCACTGACAGCCCAAATTTAACCTTGTTTTAGCCAAGATGACTATGTTTAGATTGTCTATTAGATGTGCTAAACACTTTGCTGCCGTGTGGCCCTGTCCTGGTTTAATATAGGAAAGACAGACAGGAGTAGGGGTAGATGGGGAGATTTTTAAAGATGGTGATAACTAAGGTAAGAAAATCTGGTTATTTATTGTGTGTTTGGATTCATCTGATTGGTAGACCATGTGCTTGCTAAGACGGGACCAGCTGTGGTCAATCATAAGCGCGTAATCCTCTTGAAATTAGTTTATAAGTAAACTTCACTTAAAACCTTTGAGGGCTGTTGAGGCTTGATGATCCATAGATTCTTTATGACTATTTATACATGCATTTTCAGTGTCCTCCTCACTGTCATCCTCACTCAAGGGGAATTCTCTGTACCCACTTGTATTGTAGCTCTTCATATGCAATGGACACTCCTGATTTACAATCGCCTTGAAGAAAGAAACATGTCAGAACATTTGCAAAAATACTGATAAAATGTAATGCTAAAATAAAAACATGCATGAACATGTTTGAGTCTCACCATCTTCTCCTCCCAATTTGCAGGATTTTTGAGAAAGAAGCAAAGAGGTGCATACAAGATATTGATTATGCCGATGATCACCATGAGATTTGGAAAGCCAATAGTTCTTACTAATGCCCCACCCGTAGATGGACCTGCAACAGGAAGCAAGAGTAAGTTTAACAACTGTCTACATTGCTACAAATTTATACAAGTACTTGATTCAAGGTATTCAAGTAATGAAAATAATGTGCATTTACCAACAGCAAATCCAACGCAGAGGGCCACATCAGCAATGGCATACACACTTCCATAAACAGAGACATGTCGGATATCTACTAGGTAACCCATTATAGCAAACATAGAAGTATCCACCATTCCTACAAAGACAAATTGTTAAAAAAAATATTTCCACCTGACAAAAACATGCGATAGAGCTATGTATTTAAATACATGCAAAATATATGTGTGTCTTTTCATCTGCGTGACACAAAATAAGATATTTCAGAAAGTGATTTGTTTATACAATGGCAGCTATGCGGAGTAAGTCGTGATAATATTTACCAACTGCAAATCCTAAACCACCATTGGGACCAATGAGGCCATAGAGGTTTTTCGCAAAAGGAACCTACAACAAATTCATAAATTGTTAAAATCAGCATCATTCTTATATATGCACTACTACTTCAAGTTTGATATACTCACACAGAGTAGACTGATGCCAACTATAAACATTCCGACCATGGAACACAACCACCTAAATCAGACATGATGCAGATTTTGTGTGCTTTTCAATTTTATATGGCTTTACAAATTTAGCATTTTCTCAGGAATAAAACCAGAACTTAAATAAATGTATTACCTTCCCATTTTATTGGCCAGTATCCCAAAAAGGTTGGTTCCGATGAGGTATGAAACACTGGCTGGTAGGAAAGCCACACCTGCAATATCAGTGGCCAAAATCACAGAAAAAAATCAATAAAAATAAACATAAAAAATACAGGTCAGAACCATCAAGAAGCTCTCAGCTGCTGTCATAAAACATATATATTTTAACTAGTGGTCCTCAGTAGCTATGTTTCCGTCCAAAAATGTGAATTAACTTTATGTGCAAAACTGGAATATAGCATAAAAGATGTGCAAATAAAGCAGCGTTTCCATCCAATGAGTCAAAGCTAACAAAATCGTCAATTCCTGATCAGGGCCGGATTAAAAGCCAAGGCCCCCCCTTTTAGTTTATATTATTACCCCACCAAAGTATATATATATATATATATATATATATATATATATATATATATTAGGGGTGTAACGGTTCACAAAAATCACGGTTTGGTTCGACACGACACAGTGGTGTCACGGTTCGGTGTTTTCGATAAAGCAAAAAAAAAAACAGGATTTCTCTTATTTAATTTTTTTATGTATTAAAACTAACATGATTAAAGTATGATCCTGTTTTTTATTTTATTTTACTTTAAACAGTGATAGAGCTATACTTCTGGGGTTTCTGCTTAGCAGCAAATAAAACAAATCCTTCTTTATACTCAAAACCAAAAAGCAGCTTGTAAAAAATAAGTATAATATTGTAGTAGTTAAAGAAATAAAAAGAAAAGAACAATTTAGTTTTTATATGGAGCTCAGTTTTAATCAATTTTTAAGTATTTTTTTATTTTCAGAAAGATGAGTGTCCACCTTTTCCTCGGACAGCACAGATCTGCTTAATTTGACTGTCACCTGCCATTTTAGTGGATCTGAAAACAGGAATTGTCTAACTGAAATGGGCTTATGAAGGAATAATGTAACGGGGCTCTATTACATTTAACATTTTCTTAAAACCTGAAATTTCCTCTACCGATGAAGACCTCTCATATCCACAGCTATAAATGTAGTGATCACCTCTGTGTTTTGTTTTGCCCTGTTCGAATCTGTAGGACCTGCCCGTCAGAATGCTGTTCCAGTTACTGATACGTATCTGAAAATTGGTGGGGGCGTGTGCGCGCAACGTATCTGAAGAGCGGTGTAGGCATGTGCGTGCGATGTCCCTGAGCAGTGTGGGTGAGTTGTATTTAACGTAAATTTACATATTTAAGGACTAGAGGGAGGGAGACGCACGATTTCCGGAAGATTATCATTCGTTTGCCGGTGTTACACCATATTCTGTGACCATCGAAAACTGTGTTCCAGGGGGCGTGGCTGCGTAACCTATGCAAACTGCGTGAATGCCTATTATATATATATATATATATATATATATATATATATATATATATATATATATATATATAAACTATAATATTATATAACTGTATGAAATTATATATGTACATAACAGCAGAGCCACATAAGATCGTTTCTTTTTTTTTTGTCAACAAATTCTTATATGCTCTTTTAATCCCCTTAAACCATTGTTATGTTGTCCACATTCTCTCTGGTGGTGTTTAATCTCCTCAGCTTTGTATTGTAGCAACCTTTTTTGACCTAAAATGAAAAGCAACAGAAATCACCAACTATGATAAGGCTATTTTTATAATAACACAAATAATTCTGATGCTCTTCATATTTTATCCAAAATCTTTTTTCCCCTCCAAATGGACTCTGGTGGTGTTTAACCCCCTCAGCTTTTCACTGTAACAGCTGTTTTTGACTTGAAATGAACAGTAACAGAAATACAGCAGGGTCACCAAATATGATAAGGCTGTTTCATAGTCAAATAATTCTGATGCTCCTCATATTTTACCCAAAATCTTTTTTTTTCCTCCTCCAAATTGACTCTGGTGGTGTTTAACCCCCTCAGCTTTGCACTGTAACAGCTGTTTTTGACATGAAATGAACAGAAACAGAAATACAGCAGGGTCACCAAGTATGATTTTAAAGGTGACCATAGACAGCGTTATTTTCGCATTTACTGTTAGTGATTTATAAATTTTATATATCCTTGTGGTATTAGTAGTGTATATAAACTGAAAAAATCTGTATAAACTATGTGAATATTAATAAAAAATAACAATACACACACACATATACATATATATATATATATTTATACATGATTTCCTAATAAGTATGGTAAGTTGATATTCTGCAGACGTAGATCACGTGGGTTGTCCAGCATCCATTAATGAATTTGCGCACAATTATTTGATTTAGTCAAATCTTGCTGCGCTACCAATAAGACATGGATGGTGACAAATATAACACATTAAAACAGTTTCTTTTTTTGGGAGAATATCCAAAAAATGCTAACAAACAGCAGCGTTTTGTATTGAAACGACGAGCTGGGAAGTTCTGCATGATAGGTAAGTCAAATAAAAAGCACACACTAAAGATAACTTACTTTAGGCCTCATAAGTTAACTCTTCTTTTAGCACTGTAAAAACAAATATAACATTAGGGTCCTATCTAAACTGGTACAAGACAAACCAAATATCTGGGACCAGTACTTGGATGCTGTTATGTTTGGACTTCGAACAAAAAAGCAGCTGACCACCCGATTCTCACCATTTTACCTGATGTTTGGGAGAGAAGCACGCTGTCCATGCGAAGTCCCTGAACATTTTGAGGTATTTTGTTGTATATATTCTGGATTATTTTTATATCATTGCTAGCTAAATTATTTATTACAATTTTTCCACAGCTTGATGGTTCATTTGAAAAGGACTTCAGTGAAGACATTGCCATTGACATTGAACGACAAAAAAAATCAAGAACATTGTTGAAGATAATGTAAATAAATCTATTGCAAGGACAAGAAAAAAGCTGTCAAAGGCACAATTTAGCCTTCATGTGGGAGCAAAGCTGTGGAGAAGAAATGTCCGGAGTGAGCAGAGGAAAGGAGGAAAACTAGACCCTGAGTATTTTGGTTCCTTTGTGGTGACCAAAATACAAGGGAAGAGTGTTGATCTTGTGGATTTGGAGGCTCGATCAACACAAAAGATTAACATAGACCAACTGAAGCACCACCACGAGGAGACACCAAGAGTACCTGATGTTGCTGATGTCAACATCAGCAACCCTCTAAGCCATCGAGTGCAACCTCCTCTTCTTCTTCTCCCCCAGCTGCTCTCTCTCCTCCAGCTGCTGTCTCATCTCCATCTTCTTCTCCAGCTGCTCTCTCTCCTCTATCTTCTCCTCCTCCAGCTGCTCTCTCTCCTCCATCTTCTTCTCCACCTGCTGTCTCTCTTCCAGCTGCTCTCTCTCCTCTATCTCCTTTTCCAACTGCTCGCTCTCCTCCAGCTGCTCTCTCTCCTCCATCTTCTTCTCTCCTCCAGCTACTCTCTCCTCTCCATCTTTCTCTCCGGCTGCTCTCTCGCCTCCATCTTCTCCTTCAGCTTCTCCAGCTATACTCTCTACGCTCCAACTTCTCCAGCTATACTCTCTACACTTTAGCTTTTCCTCCAACTGCTCTCTCTGCTCCAGCTTCTCCATTTTCTCTTTCAGCTGCTCTCTCTCCTCCATCTGCTCAGTCTTCTTCTCTAGCTGCTACCTTTTCTCCAGCTCCTCTCTCTCTCTTCCAGCTTCTCCTCCAGCTGCTCCCTCTACTCCATCTTTCTCTCCAGCTGCTTTCTCTCCTCCATCTTCCTCTCCAGCTGCTCCCTCTCCTCTAGCTTCTCCAGCCGTTCTCTTTGCTCCAGCTTCTCAATCTTGTCCTCCTGCTGCTCTCTCTCCTCCACCTGCTCAATCTTCTCCTAGAGCTGCTCTCTGTTCTCCAGATGCTCTTTCTGCTCCATCTTTTCAATCTTCTCCTCCAGTTGCTCTCTCTCATCTGGCTGCTCTCTCTCCTCCATCTTCTTCTCCTTTTGCCACTTGCTCACCTCTTCTTTCAGCTGCTCATAACTCTGCTTGCCTTCCATCATCTTCTGATGCATCCACTTTTAAAGTAAAAAATTATGTAACTAATATGAAACTACATTTCTTTTTAAACAAAATAATCTGTTACTATTCTAATATAGTTATAAATATGTATATATATATGTACATTTGTGTACTTCGGTGAAGTTATTTCAATTACTTTTTCTAACACAAAGGCATAGAAGATGCCTGGAAAGGCCAAAAGAAATATTATGATAATGTATTATTATCTATGTGAATCTGAAATATTTTATGACTTATGACTATGATTTGTAATTCTTTTTTTTATTGTTTTTAAATAAATTGGTCTTACCCTTCATATTTTCTGTAGTTTATTTATTATTTATCCCCTGCTGTACCGAATGGGGACCTACAAGCTGTTTTATTGGGACATTGCAAAAACAGCTCCCAGTGAACAGCTTGAAAGTGAGGTGAGCTGAATAAACACATTTGTCTAATTGTATTGTATATAATTTGTATGCAAGTTAAAGCTGCTATCCTTAACTGGTTTACCTTCATATACTAACTTGTTTTCTGGCAAACAGGTCATGAATGCATACTTTGCTCTAAAAGTAAAAGTAAACAATGAAACAAGGGCCAAAAAGGCCTTTCATATTGATTTATTTAAGATGACAAGGATATAGGTGGAAAAAAATTCAAGACTGAAGGTCGGCACATGGTTTGCGGTGGGTGGGGGGTTGCTTTTTTAGTTGGATTGTCATTAAATAGGTCTTATTCACTATTTTTGTAAATGAATGTTATCTGTATTAGTGTGACCCAACGAAGTATGGGGTAATTTTGAAAGCCGTTCATGAACCTGGTCACTGGATTTTGGTGGTAAGTACAAATTACTCACAATAGCTGTGAAACATGATGATGATTATATAATCTAAAATAATATAAAATTACATTGTAATACAACAATCTACAGGCCATCTTTCCGGATCACGGATCAGAAAAAGAGCCTTGTGCTTGATCCCCTGGGAACTGAAGCCAGTAAAATTAATATATATATATATATATATATATATATATATATATATATATATATATATATATATATAAGTATGTATACACACACACACATATATATATATATTAGGGATGTATATTAGGGTGGATTGAGCGCGCATACTCAAGATCGGTGTTGTTGCGCGCCTACTGAAGGGCGGGACGGAGGGTGTGTCGCGTCGCAGTGGGCACTCTTGATCATTTTGGAAGGGCACTTTCTATCCAAGACTCAAAAGGGCATGTGCACTGCACAGGTTGAGCCCTATATGTGCACATGCCAGCAAGTTGGGGAATACGACTAATACTGGGGACATTGTAAATGCCTAAAGATACCAGCTTTTACCAGATTATAGTTATAAGATAATTTTCCTTAAAACCCATCTCTATCTAAGTGAGTGAGTGAGTGATTAAATGTTGAATGTGTTGAGTTTTCAACAATATATTTTTTTACATGTTTTAATAATTTTTTTGTTATTAAAATTGAAGTTCCTGTTTCAAAGCTTACAGATAGATGGCTAATTTGTATGTCATTGACACTTTTTTGGAGTATTTTCATAAGTTTTGTTTTTCCTGTAAATGATTCAATAAATACCGTACCGTGACATTCATACCGAGGTTAAAAAAAGAGTTTTAGTGGTTAATGTATATATATGTATGAGCACCACCTAGGTCTACATCTCTCAGATGGAAACCGCCATGCTAGTGTACAGAAAAAGCCAAATAACACATATGCAATGCATGACCCCTCTCAGGAGTCCTACATTAGTCTGTTATTGAATCAGTAGCATACAAAACAGCATTAGTGTATTAATTCACAAACTCTGTATTTTTGCATGAATACTTCAAAATGATTACCTAGTTGTTCAAATTACTGTCCTGAGTCATTTAAAATGGACTCCCACCCATAGAGGGCTCTATTTTGACGGTCCATTCGCAGAGTGCAAAAACGCAGTGCGCAAACGCTTTCAGGGCGTGTCAGAATGCATTTTTGCCAATTTCAGGACGGGAAAATCCGCTTTGCGCCGTGGCGCATGCTCTAAAAGGGTTGAGTTTATTTTCTTAATGAATTATAAGTGTGTTTTGAGAATAAACCAATCAGAGTCTCATCATTCCCTTTAAGAGCCAGCTGCGTCGTGCCATAAGCGCATTTGCTATTTACATGACGTAAAGTAAGTTCACTTTCGCTTTTGCTCTCGTGGATAGGGAAACCTTTACGCACAGACAGCAATTAGCCTATAAATAATTTATTTAGTTTGTTAAGCGCAAAGATTTGTTTCAAAACTATTTCTAAATTCAGTTCTAATTTCCAGCAAACAAATAAATGAACAGTAATAACGAAGTGTGCTCAAAATACTGAGTTATTTCCAAATACACCTGCTATGCCCCATATGGTCTAAAACCTGACAGGTAGGCAAATCTAAGCTTGTTTTTAATAAAACAAATATAAATATGGATATAATAAATAATACTGCTAATGATAATAACATTATACAAAAGCAAATTGAATGAACTGAAAAAGCCTCCGGAGATGAAGGATTCAAGGCAGTGGTTTTTCCAAGTGGTGCTCGCTGCAGAGCCATTTGAGGAGAGCTGAGCTCCAGCGAGGGGGAGCTTAAGCTTGAGCTCCACCTTTTTTGCACTTCTTCTACGAGTGATGTCACTGGGGGTAGGGTTAGGGGTGGGGTTGGTGTACGCATTAAAACAGCTTACAGGAGGAGGAGCGACAGCTCATGCTCCCCCTTGCTGGAGCTCAGCTCTCCTCAAATGGCTCTGCAGCGAGCACCCTCTCGGTTTTTCAGCAAATTCATGTAGGCTAGAAAATAATATTTTTTTGTAATATTTTAATCCTTTATATTTATATCCTATATATATCCTTATTATATCCTATATATATATCCTTAATATTTTAATTATTTTTTATATGTAAAGATATTTGCGTATTGCTTCACATCTTGTGTATTAAGCAGTATGTAAAGGTGTAAAAGTGTTTTGGTCTAAAGAAAAGACTATTACAGTTTCTCAAAATAGCAACGTGCTTGCTTTTTTAGACGCCTATGGGTGCACATATGAGCGCAAATGCATTTGCTATTCAAACAGCTTGCGCAAAATGTCAAAACGACTCTTGCGCCAAGCTGAAATTAGCAAATAACAATTGCGTCACGCCTTGCGCCATATTGCGCCGAGTGTATAATAGGGCCCAGAGAGTTTGCCCAGTGTGCTTATGCACATGAGCATTCAAATCTGACTGAGCACCATGCCTTTAGATTAATGCTTTGGGTGGATTATGGTATAGCATAGTATTAGTATAGTAGATATTTAGGCCCAATCCCAATTCTATTTTTGTACCCCTAACCCTTCCCCCTTAAAACCGAGGATAAAGGGGAAGGGTTTTAAAAATTTACCTGTAAGAATTGGGACAGCCCTAGATCACCTGCAAACATCATCATATGTCATCGCGATCTTACTTCATATGAGATCAGACGATCGCGACCACTGTAATGATTCCAGTTGTGCTGTTTTTTGGTATTTATCTTCAGGAAATCTTTGAAGGCAAATATTATGTTATCACAACGATGGCAATAAGTTGTAACTATACTGCGCATTTACACAGTGGCCATATTCATTCATAAATACACACCAAAAACAACATTAAAATAATAGCAGACACTGTAAAAGGTCATTTCCAGCCACTAGACTTTCCTGACAGGGTATTTGGGTGTCATCGAGTGTCAGAATGTTGTGGGACTGCTATACAGGAATTATGATTATGGATTATAGATCGTCAAATTTAACGTTTATTATTTTAGCTTTTTTTTTTTTAAGTATGCCGGTAAAACACGAACACGGTTATGAATATATTAAAAAATATGCTTGTTTGTTGTAAAAATTTGTAATAATGAAATAATAAAATACTAATTTGTGGATCTTTCTTCTGGGTGCTGCGATCCTGCTGTTGTGGCTGGTGTATTCTGGGAAATTTACTTACCCCTTGGTTTCAAGTGTGGTTCTGAAAAATCCATGTTCGAAGGGCTTTCTACCCCTTGCCCTTAGCCCTACGCCTTCAAGCTAAAGAGAATAGGGACACCCCTACCCCTTTATGAAAACGCGCAAAATGAGGGGTAGGGGGAAGGGCTAAGACGTAGAATTGAGATTGGGCCTTAGTCAGTTCAGTTAAAAGTGTCAGGTTCTGTGGTCTTTTGGCATGTCCCTGTTCTCCTGTTTGTAACCCAGGCTCATTCTGAAAACGTACCGCTATATAGATTTCTGGAGAGCACTAAATCCATTCCAGGAGGTAAGTTTTTCTGCAGTTTATGTTTTCGCAAATTTGTTAGAGGCTGCTGTGTACACTTTTGGATCTCGATTTTCTCTGGTGAATGCCATTTGCGCCTGCTGTTTCCACGTGAATCCACTAGAGGCCACTGTCGACTGACTGACCCAACCAATAGTGTTTTCAAAAGCACTGATTGACCTGCCCACCCACTTTCCTAATCCCAATCGACAGTTTTAAAAAGCAATCCAGAAAAAGAAAAGCCCTTGCCTGATTTTTACCACGTTTTTCAGATTTCACCACAATCTCACTGTTATTTAATCATTCATTTTCTTTTCAGCTTAGTCCCTTTATTAATTTGGGGTCGCCACAGCAGAATGAACCGCCAACTTATCCAGCATATGTTTTACACAGCGGATACCCTTCTAGCTGCAACTCATCTCTGGGAAACATCCATACACACTGATATACTACGGACGATTAGGCCTACCCAATTCACCTGTATCCCATGTCTCTGGACTGTGGGGGAAACTGGAGCACCGGGAGGAAATCTACGAATGCCAACTGAACCAGCCAAGGCTCGAACCAGCGACCTTCTTGCTGTGAGGCGACAGCACTACCTACTGGGCTGCCTCTCATGTTATTTACTTATTTTTTATCTTCTAATTTTGTGTTGTCCGCTTTCTAGAAATGTTCTTCGCTTTACTTGAACCACGTCATCGTGGTCAACTCCTCTTTGCATCTCAAGTCCACTGACTTACATGGCGAGCTTACTGGTCGAACTGGTAACAGCGGGAAAGCCGTTCATAAGGAGGTAAGCGGTCAACTGGTAATCACGAAACAGAATGTCATCATACCACACTGTAGCAATTATTTTATGAAAAAATGCAGCCATACACATTTCTGGCTGCATTTATTTACTATATATTATATATATATAGCCTATGTTGCATGTTTGGTATGGCTTTGGTTGGCATTGAGTACTCTAACTTTGTAAAAAAAAGTCTGAAGTAAAGAATTTAGAAGGTTTAAATCTGTATGACATTTGTCTCACTTAGTTCTCACTGAGGAGGTTCCTAATTACAAAATGTACTGTTTGTCTTCAATTAAACTACTGCACAATTATGTTATTAACAGAGGAAACAAATAGTATTTAAAGAAAATTACCTATGAAAGGAAGGAAATGAAGTTGTCACAGTCAAATTTTATTGACTTAGAAAAGAGTTTCTTACCAAGCTGCCACTTTGGTGCGCACATCGTTTGCATCATCCAGATAGGAAGAGTGGGCTCTAAAACGGCAACCCCCATGTTTGCAAAGCACAATGACCCTGTAATTATATACAGGAACCATAATCTTACTCATTAATTCAACAAGCTCTTCATCCTTCATTTACAAATTGTTTTTGCTGTTCACCTCAAAACATATGGTCACAATTTCATGGAGGCATCCATGCAATTACTGAAACCGCTACAACACCTCCATGACAATCTTTTAAATGGGTTTATCTGGGGTCTGTGTATGAATATGTAACTAATTTAGTTCAAACACACACCTGCACTAATGAGTATGTAGGGATCTTTTAACAGGATAAATAATGGCGTTCCTTCCATGCTCTGAACAGAAAACATGTAATGTATTAGCGTTAACATTTCTGCTCTATCAAATTGAAATGAATCAGATTTTAATAAATGAACATTACTCACCGTGGGAGATATTTTTGAGGGCTGAAGTATGCAGAGCTGAAGGGCTGGTGTTTTGGGTATTTAAAACAACTTAAACAAATGTAACAAGCCAAAGGGGCGTATTCATTATTAGTTTTATTAATATCTTACCTCCATCAAACATAGCCAGGAAGGCTAGGACAAGGAATGGAGAACTCTTACTAACGAATTCATACATAATGCTGCCAAATGGTGCTCCAACTGAAACAAACACATTTTTCTATTGTCAAAACTTTTCTTGCTGGCAATTTGTTTTTTTACAGAAAAACAAATACCATTTTAGTACTGTATTAACTTACTAAGTACTCCCATGGCCAGTCCTCCCAGTGCAATCCCCATGGCAATTCCTCTTTCACTGTCATCGGTGTAAACACTTGCTAACATTCCCAAACCTAGAGAGATATACATTGATTTTTTTAAGCTCTATATTAGCAAATTAGAAATAAAATTAATGTTAAAGTCTGTGTGAAATTAAAATGTACAATGTTTATATTGCTAGCACACATGTATTTTAGTTTAAAAATACTCCATGTAAGTTTATTCACTAAAACAAAAATGTTTGTTTTGGTAATCCTTAATCAAAGTCTGGCCATTTCTGCATTTGGTGTAGCAGGTCTAGAAACAAAGAACACAGATATACAAAAATCATTCACTGGCATGAATGGGGAAAAGTGCAATGCTCAGTATGGCTGGCACAGGAAGGAAGTCCCACTTTCCAGTTGAAATAGCTAATCGTCAGTCTTTATAACCACATTTTTTCTGTGGGGGAGGGGTCCAGGGGAGCCCTGTTGTTTGATGAATACTATGTGTGTGACCCCGCCGGTCCTACACCACCCAACGCGCTCCAAGCTGAGATCGAACAGGGGACCTTCCATGTGGAAGTCAGTTGTTCTACCGAGGAGGCTAAAGACCATGGTGTAATGTTGGGGGGGATGACACACAAAACTGGAGGTTTGGATCCAATATGCAGCTTTTATCGTAGTCAGGCAAGCAATGGTCAATACAGGTGCTAACGGGTATGTACAGGCAGTCCAGAATCGTAGTCGTATAAACAGGCAAGAGGTCAGAAGGCAGGCGGCTAAACAGGAGAGCAAGGATAAACAAGGCTAGGTAAAACATGGGGAACAAGACAAGGAATAACGCGTTGTAATGTCATCTAAGATAAACAAGACTCGGCAAACTGAAAGGGTGAATGTTTGGCTTATGTAGTGAATGCAATCAGTCTCTGAAAGTCCTCAGGTGTTGCGAGTGTAATCAGTCTAGATGAGTGAGCATGGGTGTCTGGGCGAAGTGCATGTCTGAATATGTAGTCCAGGAAAAGGCAGAAATGTAGTCCATGGTTATTGTGTGAGAAGCAGCGATCTCTGGACACCGATGGATCTCCATCGTGACACATGGCCTTTAGTGTCTGTTGCTAGAGCACCATTAGAGGTCAGAGGAGTAGGGTTACCTGCAGAGCACTTCACTAGTTGGCCTCTGCTACACTCACCCCCCAAAACCTCACTCCCATCTGGGTCATGGCACCAATGTTACATCCCATATCGTGTCCTTTCAATGTCATCCTCAAATCTGCTCAAGTTTTGTCTGTCTTTAAAGTGTTTCTATACTCGTGAACCAGCTATAGATTTTTTTTCTTCATTGCTACATGGAGGACGCCATAGTGACCAGCGTCTTCCGATAAGATGCTTAGAATTTACAGCATTTCTCAACTGGAATTATCAATTCGAATGTGGCTGTGAGTATCGTTTTTAGCAGCTTGTGGAGTGTTTTTGTGATGCACAAGTTGATTTTGAAAGATGTGTGTTAGCAGTTATGCTTGTCTGATGCGGTTTAAGCGCGAGAGAAAAATACTGTCTTAATTCAGTGTCCGTCGTCACATAAAATGCTGAAATATAGCGTCAGTGGTCCCGACCTGTCAGTTGTTATACTGTACTCATATTACTGGCATGAAATGTAACAGGTATGTAAGCCATGCAATTTCCAAAAATTACCAGTAAAAGTATGTTACTGATACTATGCTGGCTCATTTGCTTGTCGATTCTAACTGGGAGCAGTTTAGGTTTCATTTAGTTTGTTTGTATTGTGTAATATTTACCAGGGTATGATTTTCTATCATTTCAAAATGCCACTTTATTTTCAGTCTGTGCCACTCTTTTAATCAATGTGTCAGTGGGACAGTACATCCCTGCTGAAAAATTCAGCTTAACCCAGCCTAGGATGGTTGGCTGGTTTTAGCTGGTTGACCAGGCTGGTTTTAGATGGGTTTTGGCCATTTCCAGCCTGGTCTTAGCTGGTCAGGTTGGAAAATGACCAGCTAAATCCAACTAAAACCAGCTTGACCGGCCTGGTTTAAGCTGGACATAGGTTTTGGCTGGGCTCCCAGCCTGGCTAGGCTGGTCAAGCTGGTTTTAGCTGGTCATTCCCCAGCCTGACCAGCTAAGACCAGGCTGGAAACTAGCCTGGAAATGGTCAAAACCTCTCTAAAACCAGCCTGGTTGACCAGCTAAAACCAGCCAAACTGCCTAAGCTGGTTTAAGCTGTTTTTTTCAGTAGGGATATGTGTGTCTAACATTTTGGAGAATCACATTTGTTTGGATTGGTTATATATTTGAACTAAAGAGGTAATGTTCACTTTAGCTTTAGCAAGGCTCCATTTAAATAGCATAAATTGCTATTTTAAAAAGTTAGATTTTATTTCCATCATTTACATTTTCGAAATAACAGAAAACAAAAAAAATAGTGTCTGCAAAAATTTGAGTTTATAGCATGCACTGGAATTAAAATCTAACTTTTTTGACATTTTAAAATAATGTCCCGTCCATAATTTGATGTCTTTTGGAGATTGTTCCATCTGTCCTTGGCTTCTTTATGCACATTAATATAAATCTTTACCTGGGGTGCTCAAACTTTCCATGCCCACTGTACACACACACACAAAAACTGTATCAGTAAATATCTATAATACAATAATACGTCCCACTTTTCTATACATTTTTCTTAAATATAAATTGCTATAGTATTTATACTGTATAGTATTATTATAGTATTTTAAATGTGCAACACCTGGTTTTCTTGAATGTTTTGTTATTGCTGTCTGGCAAAATTTGTTTCTGTTTGGAAAAGCTTTTTTTTTTGCATTAAATAACTGAACTAAATAATTATGCCACACGTTTTATTGATCACTAAGACAGAACTGACTCAGATTAAAGTTTGATTTAAAAATTAAAAAAAGAAAACTGCTATGTAGCTTTTAGCTTAGCTTGCTACATTACTCAGGGGTTGCTTTTAGTGTAGTTAAGCTACATTTTAAGTAGAGTAACTAATAGCTTAGCTCACTACATTTTCCATGTAGCTTGCCCAACATAGAAACTATCATTTCAAAGCTGTCCAAATGTGAATGTTTAAACGCATCAAGCTGCTGTCCGGAAGATCGAAGCATCCTCCTTAAACATACACGCAAAGCATAATGGGTAATTTAGCATTCTATGAAAAAGGTCTATAAAGCAGACTGTAATTAGGCCTTGAGTAACAACAATAATGGGGCAGGTCAGTTCAAAATATGTTGTTGATTTGAATAAGTAATGTAATTTAGATAGGACTAAGGTCAAAGTAATGTAATTTAGATAGGACTAAGGTTGCAAATATGGCCGCCTAGTGAACTGACTTTCCATGAAAGGGACTTTGATTGAAATCAGTTTGACATCTTAACCACGTCCTCCTTACCATTAGTTTGCTGTGAGGGAATGATGCACAAAACAAAGCCCTTACCCCTTCACAATATACATTTTCAGTTGTAAGCACATCATGTGTAGTTCGAAGTTACACATTCAATACATTAAAGCAAGCATGCACGAATAACACATATAGGCCTACTTTTATACCTGCAACTGTGGAAAAAGATGATCCAATTCCCTGCAATGAGCGGGCAAAAAACAGAAGTGTGTATGTCCCAGAGAAGGCAAACACTGTAGAGAAAGCAATCAAAATCATTTATCAAGATGATTACACATTTTTAGGAAAATTAAGAGTTTAACTGAGTGAGTTACTTGTTAATGAAATTATAAGGTATACATCCAAAGAAAGCAGATCAATTGTGTGTGTATGCATGTATGTGTGTATGTATATATATATATATATATATTTTTTTTTTTTTTTTTCTTTATTTATATTTAGAGTGTTAGATTTGTCCAACAATTGCACATGCCTAAGATATAATAAAATAAAACACTTGTCAATATACTGTATGTTATGTAGAAATATGGTGTCATTAGTACAGAACCGTGTAGGTATAGTGCGTCTAGTCATATTAGGGTGATATGAAACTTCCTGACGTTAAAATAGGATCCAAATCCCTCCCATTTTGAGGCCCACCGCAACGTGACGCAGAAGTGTGGTTTCCCCGCCCACCAAATTGATTGACAGCCATGTATTAACCTGTCTTTGTAGAAATGTTTATAATCATTTCAACAAGACAGGACATGCACAAAGCTACCAGGAATAAATGAAAGGCTGGAATTAACTCCACATCAAAACTCATTGCTAAAGCTTTTGTTGTAGTAATACTTATAGTACAAACATTACGTGAGATTTGCTTCCTTCATGTCGGTCACTGTGCTGTTTATCTGACACAGTTAAAGTGGAGATTGAGGCACACTCAAACAGGCACATGGGAACAGTGGGGAAAACTAGGATTAAAGGCACAGGCAACGAAAACAGCTACAAGATGCTCAGAGTTGAAAAATCTAAAAGGTATAATAAATAATCTGATAGGTGTTTTGAGCTGAAACGTTGGAGACAAAAGAAGGTAAAATAAACTTTTACATTTAATTTTATTTTCTACTGTGTATGGAGATTTATGGATTTTAAGTAGTGTTAAGTCAAAGCAATTAAATTACTTATTGAGACAAAGTATTTTAAATGCCATTTTAATTATGTAAATTTACAATAATTCTATTTTTGTGGTAAGTTTTCCAACACTGGTTGGATTCAATATAAACAAGGTTATGGAACACTTGGCCCCTTGAGATTAGAATGGCTCCATCATGTCATTTTCATCCACTTATCTGGGGCGGGTCATGGGGGCACCAGTCTTAGGAGAGAACTCCAGACTTCCCTCTCCCCAGACACTTCCTCCAGCTCCTCCGGGGGGATCCCGAGGCATTCCCAGGCCAGCCGAGATATAGTACCTCCAACATGTCCTGGGTCTTCCTCAAGGCCTCCTCCTGGTGGGACATGCCTGGAACCAGGAGGCATGCGAAACAGATGCCTGAGCCACCTCAGCCTACTTCTCTCGATGTGGAGGAGCAGCGGCTCTACTCTGAGCTCCCCCCGGTTGACAGAGCTCCTCAAATCACTCCTAAAAACTTACCTATTCAGCTTGGCCTTTTAATTTTATTTTGATAGTCTTTTCTATTGCTTTATTTTTAGATTTATTCAGTTGTTTCTCTTGGCTTATTTTAATAATTTTATAATCAGTTTTTTATTTTACTTTGTCTTATGTACAGCACTTTGGTCATTCTTGTGGCTGTTTTTTAATGCGCTTTATAAATAAATGAACTTGAACTAAGTTGAGTCGCAACTAAGAGTTTTTGGCAGCTGGTGGAATCACATGAACGAATGAACCATTCATGATCTTGGCCTGAACAACCACTGCAGTTCTTATTACTTGCATCATATACAGAGTTATAACTTACTTATTGTGGAGACAAACATAATGACGAACCCAGCAAACATTGGTATGTGATATCCAATCCTTTAAAAGAGGCAGGAGTCAGACAGTTCAGTCCTCTGTTATTATTCTATTCTAACTAAATAGCAATATATTTTGACTGAACAAAGCGTGACAGTTTGTACAGTACCTGTTAGTCAGCGGGCCCACAAACGGGTTTACCAATAGCTGCACCATGGCTTTGGAGGCAAACAATAATCCAACCTTCACATTTTCCCCTTCCAAAAAATCACTGTCTTCTTTACACCCATAGTCAGCAGAACTACTATTGACTCCTAAATTTTCATTAGTGCTAGATGCACTGGAGAAGTTTGTGAAGTTCAAAGAGACACTGGTGTTGTAAGTGGTGGTGTTGTAGAGAGAAAGTAGGGAAGTGTTTGTGGGATGAGCTTCAAAGGGGGTGGTAGGTGGGTTTTTTTGTGCCTGGTGCTCTGTGGCATACAGGAAGGCTGGGATGATAGGAACTGGGAGAATAAAAGTTGACATGAGAATCAAGAGTTTGAGAAAAATCATCATCTATACAAAGTGGCACACAGGTACATATAGTATATACAAATGGTATTTATGTTCCAACACTTACCAACAACGGTTAGCAGCATGTTATCCAGTAGCAGGGCCACACACACAACTGCAAGCACCAACCGAGGAGAGCCCCTGGTTTTTATCATCCAGTCCACGGGGTTCTGCATACACTTAAAAAAAGAAGTTCATTCAAGTGTGCTATTAGTATACCTATTGTAACCTAAAAATAAATTATATGTAAAATATATTTTGTATTTTTCTGACAATTACCCTCATGTATACTTGCTTTATAGTGACAAAAATGTATATTTCATATACGCTTGCTGATCCTCTGAAGACCATGATTCTAAAATTCCATGCAGGCTTTAGAAGATGACAGTCCGACCATAAAAGATGCAGAGGCAGCTATCATTCAGGACTTGGAGAGTAGATACACAGATTCCAACCTTCAAGACTCAATAGAACTCAATATCTCAATAGAGCATCAGTCCTTGATCCAAGGTTTAATGGTGCTTTCACACCTGCCTTATTTAGTTCGATTGAATCGCACTAGAGTTCGTTTCCCCATTTGGTACGGTTCAATTGGGCAGGTTCAAATGCAGCAATCGTACTCAAGTGCACACCAAAAGCGGACCAAATATGCGTACCGAGACCTGCTTGAAGAGGTCTCGGTATGCTTTCAAACGAACCCTGGAGCAGTTCGTTTGTGGTGAGAATATGATCCATACTAAAACAGGTCCAACCACAAAAAGTACCGCGCGTTTTGGACTAATCCAGCTGCCGTAGGCCGATGCGCTGTGCATTATGGGATATGGAAGAAAAATATTTGTTGACAGCACTTTACCAACAGAGAGAGAGAGGGAAAACATTACCTGATGGATCGTTGGTAATATTTCCGCAAGATGACTATGTCGCACTTTAGCTAAATTAATTCACGCCTCCTCCTGAAGTGACGAGCGATGCATTAAACACTGCTTTCCAGCCGCGGCTGCGCTTCATTTTCGTAATGTATAGTTAGTCTAAAGCAGGGATACAATTAGCCAGCGCAGTCGTCCCTCCAGAGTTAAAGGTTTTGTTTACCTGCGGGAGTTCACTGGCATTTTCCCGCACTTGAATTCTGACCAATCAATAAGCAGTTTAGGAAATATGTTCAACAACATCTATCCAATGAGAGATGTGGATTTTGTCAGATGACTGCATTTTGGTTAGTTTCAACTGGTTCGTACCAAAGCCAGCAGTGTGGTGTGAAAACGACCCAAAGAAGGCAGAAGATGCTACAATATATCATTTATTACCCTTGGTCTGGACCTAATGAAGCGAATTACAGATGTGAAAGCACTCTAAGAATTTTGTAACATCCTTTTAACTAAACCCGTATTTGAAGTCTAAGTAACTACATTATTGTCCGTAAAACTCTTAAAATTGTCACAACAACAGCATGTTGACATGTTCAAGACGACCTGCTGCAGTGCAAACCGAGCTTTCAGGAAGAAAGGTGATTAGAGTGACTTTGAATGTGGCATGGTTGTTGGTGCCAGACGAGCTGGTCTGAGTATTTCAGAAACTGCTGATTTTCTGGGATTTTCATGCTCATCCATCTCTAGCATGGACCGAAAAATGAGAAAATATCTAGTGAGCAGCAGTTCTGTGGGCGCAAATGCCTTGTTGATCCCAGGGGTCAGAGGAGAATAGCCAGACTGGTTCGAGCTGATAGAAAGGCAACAGTAACTCAAATAATCACTTGCTACAACAGAGGTATGCAAAATTGGACAATAGAAGATTGGAGAAATGTTGTCTGGTCTGATGAATCTAGATTTCTGCTGTGACATTCAGATGGTAGGGTCAGAATTTGGTGTCAACAACATGAAAACATGGATTTATCCTGCCTTGTATCAACAGATTAGGCTGGTAGTGATGGTGTAATGGTGTGGGTAATATTTACATAGCACACTTTTAGCCCATTAATACCAATTGTGCATCGTGTCAATGCCACAGCCTACTTGAGTATTGTTGCTGATCATGTCCATCCCCTTATGACCACAGTGTACCCATCTTCTGATGGCTACTTCTAGCAGAATAACAACTTGTCATAAAGTATGAATTATCTCAGACTGGTTTTTTGAACATGACAATGAGTTCACTGTACTTAAATGGCCTTCATAGTCACCAGAACTTAATCCAATAAAGCACCTTTGAAATGGCGTGAAACGGGTGATTACGGTGATGGATGTGCAGCCGACAAATCTGCAGCAACTGTGTGATGCTATATGTCAATATTGACCAAATTCTTTGAGGAATATTTCCAGTACCTTGTTGAATCTATGCCATGAAGGATTAAGTCAGTTATGAAGGCAAAAGGGGATCCAATCACGGTGCTAGTAAAGTGTACCTTATGAAGTAACCATGCACACACACAAATTATACAAGACTTGAAGTTAATCAAAAGAGTTCTTCAAAATTGTCCTAAAACTACTTGATGAAAGTTGAGGATCCACTTCAAATAATGACTACTGTATATACGCTGACATCATAACATCAATCGATCAAGGCATGTATGAAAGCAATAAATAAATCACTGCCTTATATACAGATGAAATATCTTATATTTTATCTGTATATAAGATGAAATTTTATATTTAAAGTTAGTCTTACCTTTAGATGCATTTTCTTCAGTGATTGGGGTGGGTGATCCTGGAGCTACCTGTTGAATTGTGTTTTGCTGAAAGGGAGGTCGCTGTGTCCACTGCTGCCAGACTGTGATATATCGATGGGTTTTAGATAAAATAAACGCATGCGTACACTAACACTACATTATAGCAAAAGCAATTAAGTGCATCTGCTGCTCTTTAATGGGTAGGTAAGTGGCCTGGAGGTTTCATGAGAGTGAAAAAAAATGCTTTTCCATCCACAGCCTCTGTTATTCATCAGCCTGAGGGTTTACTGGTGGATGATCTTCCATCAGTAAGTTCAGTTAAGAAGAGGCCAGAATGAGGCAGAAGAAACAGGTTAATCAACAAATAGAAACCAGCCAAATAAGTAAGTAAATAAGCTAAAAAGTCACAAATGAATCCTCCTCCTACTACTATTACTTATTGCCATTTTATTGTTTATAAATTAAATTATAACTATTTTTCAGTGATTGTTCTTTTATTATTATTTTTCCATTCCTTATTGTTATAATCTTACGACTTTTTAAATTCAAGGGAATCTTGGTTTTCATTAGTAAGAGATAAGGGAATGTCTCCCTTTTAAGGTCTGTAATTTCGCAGGACAATGTGGTGAAATAGTAATTTTCCATTTGCTCTAGCTTGTGGTATATCAACACTTGTTTGATTTTTTCTGTCTAGACGGAGTCTGAGTAGTGAAAAATACAGAACTATTCAATAAACTCTGCTCGTATTGAACAAAGACTGTTATTTCAGTTCTGTACTGGTTAACGGGTTTAGGTATTGGGTGGTTCTGCTGGGTTGCTGTCTCTTCTCTTGCAGAGAAACAGATATTTTCTAATAGGATCTGGCTTCAGGGGCTAGATCTTATTTAAAAGGGTGGTCTAGAGTGTATTTTTAAGGCTTGGTTGTGTTTAGAAAATGCAAAATAATTTGTGCTCATGCTTCATTTGTTAGAAAATCATATATCTTACTTAAATAGTAATTAATTAGTTCCTCCGAAATCCTGCCCTCAAAAGGCTCAGATTGGTCAGCTAACAATGTGCTGTGATTTGCAGATTTGCTTTTATCACCAGATAGCATCAAGCCGCTACTTGCATGCGCTTTGCATTTTGTAATTTTTGTCAGTCGGTTTAAAGCTGTGGTCACACTGGGCTTTTTCTCCCATAGACTTCCATTCATACGCACGCGAATGCGTCAGACCGGAAACGCATAGCCATGCGTCAAGTTTCGCAGGTTGCAAGAACAGAAAAGCTAACATTAGGCTACTACATTGACTTCAGGGCACTTGCTTGTTACATCTGCTTATTTTAAGAAACATGATCCATGACAAAGATTTAATCTCTCGATTTATTATATTATAATCCATGCTTTATATTATAAACAAATAAATATGCAGACTAATCCAAATGTCCAATGCAAGCAAGCTGCGTTTCTGACCAGTTCAGCTTGATGACATAATATAATCGATGATGTACAATCGCCTGTAGTCTCATTTAGCAACTTGATAGCAACCGTCTTTTTGAAGAAGCGTAACCAATTTTAAAAATCAAAAGTGTGATGTAACTGATGTGTTTTATGTTGTAGAATAAAACGTTAAAGTGTCTTGAGTTTGTTGTAGCCACTAACCTTATTTAAACGAATAATGGAAAATCCCTTTCAAAAAAAACATTGACTTTGGGACGAGGGAACTGGAACTGCTAAAATGCTAACTCGGGTTTTCTGCATACAAATTGACGTCATAGTTCCTCCACTCTATTACATATGGCGGCACTATGATCTTCATCTTGCTTTCAAATGGCTTTTTTTCCTGTGTTACGCTTGAAATAATTTCCGACATTTACTCTGGGTGTCTTTTATTCTTCACTCTGTCGCTTTTTTCTGAGGTTCTGTTGATACCATGACTTCTCACCATTAAACAACCGTGCTTCTGTTTACAGGTTGAGGAAGTGATGCCTCATATGGATTTTTTTAAAACAAAATGCAGATTACTACAATTTAAACAAATAATTTTTTGTACCCGATTAAATTGATTAAAAGTTTCGGTCACACTTTATTTTGATGATCTGTTTGTTGAATATAAGTTACATTGCATCTATATGCCAACTAATTCGCATTAGATTATAAGTAGACTGTTTGGTTGGGGTTAGGGTCAGGGTTAGTGTAAGTTGACATGAACTTGCAAAGTGTCTTAAAGTCAGTTAAATGTCTGCTGATGTAGCAGTATCAACAGATATTAAGCAGACAAGTGACTATTACTCAAATGGACAATCAAAATAAAGTGTTACCAAAGTTTCAGTCCTACTTAAAAACCATGTTTAGCTGTGCCTTTGCTGAATGAGTACCATGCTATGTCTGACATGTCTTTCTTTTCTTTTCTTTCTTTCATGCCATTTTAAAAACAATTTAAAACAATATGGTCACTGGTTCAAGCTCCAGCTGGGTCAGCTGACATTTCTGTGTGGAATTGGCATGTTATTCCCGTGTT